GGCGGCAGCAGCAGCCGAGCCCCGCTCCGCTCCGCCTGCGCCGCTGCCTCCCAGCCCGGCACGGCGGCTCAGCCGCGCCCCCCGCGCCCCCGCCCGGTACTGCGGGACCGGCGGCCGGAGCGGGGCGGAGCGGGCCCGGCCCGGCCCGGGGAGGCGGTGCAGGGACGCGCGGGGCCCGGGGGGGCTGCGGGTCCCGCACTCGCTGCAGCCGCACGGAGGTGCCGGCCCGGGGAGGCCTCGGGCCCCGGGAGCCGCAGCACATGGCCGAGGGGCCGGGCTGGGCTCCGGACAGAGCCCTGCACATGGCCGAGGGGCCGGGCAAGGCGCTGGGGACCCGCAGAGCTCCGGCTGGGCGGGCACCCAAGGGCTGAGCGGCTCCAGAGCTCTTGCTGGCCCTGGCCGAGGGGAGCCCGCAGAGCCCCCGCGAGCATCCCGGGCAGGGATGGCCCCGGAGAGGGTCACACTCGGGAGACCCCCGGGGCCTGGCCGAGGGGCTCGGCCCAGGAAAGGCATCAGCCCTCAAAGCACCACCAGTCTCCACTGCTCTGTCCGTGTTGAACGGCACGGCACACCCGAGCTCTGCCCGGTTTGGAGAGCACATCATGGGCCTGGGAATGGAGGACCGTGGTGGCCGGTCCACCGGCCACTCTTGCCTCCGCCAACCACTACAGCTGGTTTGAAACCTGCAAAGTGTGTCCTGCTTCTCTGAGCTGGGCAATTCCGCGGCAGGGAGAAATCAGGGCCTGTCCAAGAGGTGGCACTGCATGGACTGGAACGGGTCACGCAATGTGGAGACTCCCCACATCGGCACTGGGGAGCATGTCACACCCTGAGATGGTTGGTTATGGGGAGCAGGGTGCCCCAGCTCTGAGGGTGCTGTCCCAGAGTGACGGGGGACACTGCGAGGAGAAGTGGATTACCAGATGCAGAGATCAAACGAGAGTAGAGTAACTGGGAAGCGCAAAGCCTGCTTCCTCCCTGGAAAGCAGCGATAGACTCCAAGCCAGGCAGACCCTAGGTACCATCTCAAAAGCTGAACATGCAAACAAGCCACAAGACAGTCCTTTAAAAATCAGAAATTACTCAGAATGATTTCCAACAGGGATGGTTTCTGCTTTCTTATGCAATTACACTGTTGCACGTACCTGCCTCCATGCATTTAGAGAACGCTATTGGAAACGTAACATTTTTTTTTTTCCAGCTTTCTGAAATGCACAGAAATCCACCCAGGGCAGTGGCACTCCCCATCCCAACCCGGCAGAGAGCCCAGCAGGCCGATGTGGCTCCTTACACCCTTTCATGTGAACGATGCTGGGAGCTGATTTACATGTAGCAGTGCAATACTGATCTCAAGCGTAATAATAGAAAAGCTGATGTGGGATTCAGCTGGTAAAGAATTAAAGGATGGGAATATAATTAATGCAATCAGCCTAGTTTCCAGAAAATAGCTCTTGTCAAACTCTGATGTCATCCTTTGAAGAGATTACAAGTTTGGCTGATAAAGGTTATGGCATAGAAATAATAGACCTGGGCTCTGTTCAGGCATGTGACTTAATCCATATACTATTCTGATTAAAAATTAGCACAATACAACATCAAGAGGGACACCTTAAAGGGGCTGGGAGCTGGCAAACCGACAGCCATCAATGGGGAATCCCTGCAGAATGGGAGCGCGCTCAGTGGGTGTCCGGGCTTGGATGGGAAGCCCAGTGCTATTCAGTATTTCCATCAATGGTCTAGAAATAGATTAAAAAGCCCTGCTGAGAAAAACGCTGGGGTGAGGGAAATGAGAGGGGCAGGAGACACGGACGAGGTCAAGGCAGCTGTAGAAAACTTCACAAGCTGAGTCGCCGGCAAATAAAACATGGTTGAATGCGAGCAGCTGTGAAAGAGTCTGTCCACTGAGCACAGGGCCCTTCTGCTGGAAACCCGGGATCTGGCAAGGATGGATTGGGGGGAGTGTAGGAGGCGGGAGCAGCGGGCTCCCCACGGGGAATGTCTGGCTGGGACAGGGCTGGGTGCTACAGCAGAAGGATTCCAGAATCTGCATTTTGAAGAGAATGCTGAGAAATTAGGAGAAGGTGGAGGAGAGTTAAAAGTGAGCCCTGCTTTGCAGGGGGGTGGCTGAGGCCCACAACCTCCCCAGCAAGTTCAAAGGAGCCCTGGAGACATTAGAGCACTTCAGTTGCTTCATGGGTGAGAGACCATCAGGTATTAGAGAGCTTTTCATCTCCCAGAGAAAGGCCCAGCGAGATTCACAGCTCGAACTGAGTTCACATGAGAAACCAGAGCCAGATTTCTCCGTGGCAAAGGGGAAACCGAGGGGGTGGGTGATGAGTTTGGGTCCACCAGGATGCAGGTGGCTGAAGGGCTGGGCTTGACATGCCCTCCCTCATGCTGACATCCTTCCCTGTAACCTCTCCTTACTGCTCCTTGGGTTGGGCTGGACCTGGGGAGTGGGAAAAGTGCCTGGGGCTCTCTTGGACCCCCCCAGCTCAGGAGACACAGCCCAGGGTGAGTAGCCAGCACTCATGAGTAGCCAGCACTCATCCCACCCGCGGGCACACCAGGGAGGCAGAGGGGCTCCAGACCAGCTGGCAGGGCCTTCCAGCAGCACAGGATTGCTCTGTGCATGCTCCCAGAGAAAGCAGAGCCAGTGCTGCCCTGCTCCAGCAAAAGCAGCCAGGCAGCTGCCCCTTGTAGGCTGGAAGAGATGAATTCCTGCAGGACGATTCCAAGCCTTCCCAGTGCCTCACTGTTTTCTGGTCCTCTAGCAGGGCTGCTTGGGGATGGGAGAGCCGCGGGCTGGCTCCCTCTGGAGCCCTTTCCCTGCCTTTTACACATCAGTTTCCCCATGCCAAGGAGCTTGGCAAAGCACAGGGACCAACATCAGTTACTTCCAGATTTACCTAAGGACATCAAACAGGTTAGAAACTAAACTGAGCGCCCCTGGCCTGTGGGAGAGGAATCAGCCTGTGAGATCTTTACAAAAACGATAGAGGCCAGTGAACCAAACCTGGTCATTTCTCTCTTCACCTGGTCCTTTCTCCCTTCTTCATCAGCTAATCACGCGGCCCTGCCTTAAGCCTTCGCAAAACTGCCACAGCTGAAATGGCAGCAGTGTTTTGGTGCACTGCTGGTGTCACCCTGCAGCTGAGGCTGGTCCCGTGGGAACCTCCACACTTCCTTTCTGCCTGGAAGAGCCAGCAAACGCTGGAGATAGAGGAACTGCTCTCAGCCTCTGGGCTGAAGGTCTGGGCTGCATCCAGGCAGCACTGGTGTGGTGCAATTCCAGAGCCTCCCTGCAAAGGGGTGTTTTCTGTAGCACCAACCTGCCAGGTTGGCTTGGGAGCCACAAGACTTCCAGGATCACTTCTGCAGAGGCTTGGATCAGCTTCAGCACTGACAATGGTCATCCCAAATGAATTCTTCTCTTTGTAGTGACTCACAGACTCCCCCAAGGCAAGATGGGCCTGACCCAGTGCTGAGGTGTGACCACTGGTGGGCTGTCAGGATCCGTTCCAGTGGCAGGGATGTGTGGGTGTGAGCCAGTGTCCCTCCAGCATGGGTGAATTCAGGACAGAGTGCACTAGATGGTGCTGTTCAACCTTTGGCAGCCATTTAAAAGGCTCCTGCAAGGTCATAAGCGGTGCTGAAATTTGGTGGGTTTTATGTTCAAAAACCTTTTTGGAACTGGAGGACAAATAGAAATACCCTAAAGTATGAGATCCTACACCAATAACCAGTGGTGGAAAAGGACATCTCACCTCAGAGGGACACATGTCACCAACCACCTTGGACAGGGAGCACTCTCAGTTCTGAGGCAGGAGCTGGGGTTTGACTGCATGTCCAGCGGTGGCCAAAGGGGCTGCCAAGAAAAAAATGTCCCGGGGTGGAAGAGGAGGCTGACAGCTCTCTTTTGGACTGCTGGCAAGACGATGGTTGCAGAACAGGAGGAAGAAAGTGTATTAGCAATCATGATAAAAGTGCTGATGTTGTGGTGCCAGGAACCAAGGGCATCCTTGAAAGGCTCAGCTGGGATGAGACACCCACAGCTCAATGGCACTGCTGCCAAGAGAATGAGCAAGTAGAGCCACAGGACATGGCTGGCAGGAGAACAAAGCAGAAAAGTAGTCATGGGTACATCCAGG